CGCTTGAAAGATTACTCTAGCTACGTGACTTTGAACGATACTGGATGACATAAATATCAAAATGGTTTACAAATTATGTGAGTACACCGAGGAGTCATTAGTTCCAGGTTTAAAGTTGTTATATTGCGACTTTATTTTAGGCCTGTGTAAGGCGGTAATTAATTCTTTATGTTATTGTCATTAAGTGGGTAATGAGTCACAAAACAAATAACCAAAACATTTCAGAGGTGGGGCGCAAAAAGTGTCTTTGACCCCGAGTGCTGCGAACCCTTGCTACGCCACTGAGGCTATCTCCCCTTGAACTTATTAAACAATTTTCGGAATACTAAATTTATTTATTATATCTGCTACTGTGCGGCTATATAATGTGTAGAACTGAATAGTGGCCAATAACACTTTTTCTTCACTTCACCTATCTAGTGTATGGGTTTTTCTCACGATGACTACAAGCACGTTCACGCCAACAGTATGGTTAATACTTTTCACTATGATATAGGTCCAGTTAATTTCTCTTTGGTGATTTTTGATCGACCTTTGGACGATTCGAACCTTTTGGATTGTGCCTAGTGGATTTTGGTGAGTTTCTTTTACTTGGTGCTTTTTACAATTCATTGTAATTAAGTTATTGACTACAGTGTTGTGTGTACGGTGTTCTTCGTGCACTCTGACCTGTCGTTGACCGACTGGGAATGTCTACGGGAGCTGTGCTGTCACATAATCGTCGTCGTTTCAAGCCTTATGACAAGCTGGGTACCCATTCTCGTCTCTCACAGTCATCTCTTTCTAGCCACTCTGATCGGGACTTTGCTCCTCCAGTTTGTGTGTCTTCTGTGCCTCCTGGTTTACCGACTTTTGCTGATGTCGTTGCTTCTTCAACCACTACACTACCTACTGCGTCAACTAGTTTGCTTTTTTCATTTGTTCGTCCTCGGAAACATGCCCGTATGGACACCTCCTGTTTCGGTGTTTCTTCTGTTTCAAATGGAACCTCGATTTTTCACCATCCGCACATTATTCCAACGACATCGGGTTGAAGCTTTTCGATCTCCTCCCCCTCAGCCCTTATGCTGTGAAAAGTGTTTGTTTTTCAACTCTCACTTGACTGCAAACTGCCCCAATTCGCCTGTATGCCTCCATTTTGCCCATCAATGCCTGCAGCTAGAACAACCTTCCGTTTATAATACCTGTCACCAGAACCACCCTACCTATTCTTATAAGTGTCGTCGTAAACCTTCTCCAAACCAGAATGATCCTACATCGGTGACTCCAGTTAGTGGCTCCGACCCCATTACCCCTCCTTCTAACTCTGTTCTTCCTCATCCAACTGGTGAGTG